CGCTACAATTGTTATTAAAAGCATCATGGAAATATTTATTTTTTATGATAGCAAAAGTCATGCTAACTAGAGAAACACAGGAAGTTGGATGAGGCTGTAGGATGCTAAGCAGCACGTGCTCACTTATGTATATACAAAGAGGTGATGGCATGCAAATACGATTAAGTCTTCACTATGGTTGCGTGCGCAGCTGACTCAAGGCAAGCATTGGACTGAGCACACACCCATGGACAAACATTGCTGAGTTGTCGCTTCATGTGAGGTCCCAGCCAATTTTGCATCAATGTTTATGCACCACTAAATATGTATGGCTTTGAATGCCAAAATGAAAACTCCAAAGATTCAGCAGAATTGCTTCTAATTACATTGTGGGATACATTTGGCTCACTTGATAAATGAATTGTAATGGTGCTGTCACGTACAGACATAGGATTAAATCTAAGATCCCACAAATGGATTTCTGTCACCCTTCTCCCAACTGCAGCTCTCTTACTTTCCCCAAATCTGCTCCAGCTGATGGGGCGGGAGGACATACAGAAATGCATTCCACTGGCAGTCTTCAATCTGTTGGCGGATAGCCAGCATTGATGCAATCCATATTTCTTTACCTTTTAAGATTATTTTGCTGCCGATGTGTTGCATTAATTAATTAATTGCATTTATATCCTGCATTTTTCTAGTAAGGAATCTAAAGCAGCTTAAAGTTTATCCTCACAACAACCCTGTGAGGTAGCTTAGGGTGAGAGTCAAAGATTGGCCCAAAATCACCTAGTGAGATTCATGACTAACTGGGGACTTGAAACCAGGTCTTCCAAGCCCAGTCTAGTACTCTGTTGGGTATGTGACCTTGCTCCAGGAGAACAAAGAATGGGGATTTTTCTTCTGTGCATTTTTGCTGTATGACAGGAAGAAATGAAAGAAGGAAAGCAATCTCCATGCTATGTAACCAGCACCTCCAAATTTTCTGCCTGCTGTGTAGTAGTTCAAAGCACAGGAAAAATCTGGTGTAAGGATTGTAGAAAAGTTCAGCGTTGGCTTTAATTCAGAGTGGGATTCGCAGCAAAACGCTGCAATGCAGAGGGTTGCTGTCCAGGAATCCATGCCTGGTTTTCTGGTCTCTCCTCCAAGCGATTTAGCATTCCGTGGCTACTGAGCATCCTCATTCACCACTGGGCTGTTTGGGAGAGCATCCCCTCCGAGCTTTGCACAACTCCAAGGTTCCCCCAAGACCGCTGTTTCCTGCTTCTTGTGCATAACTTGCTACATAAGCAAAGGCTCTCATTGCCTGTAAACCTGAACTAACGGGAGTGGCTGCAGCATTTAGTAAATAGTTCAATTAATTCAGGAAAGCACACCTTGAACATTTTTCTACTTCACTCCCCATTCTGATAACACAGCCAAAGCGAATAACTTTTAAAAACAAGCAGGCGTGCCCCACCACTATTCAGTGAACTGTCAGAGCAAATTTTAATCAGCAGGCATGAGGCCGACAAGCACCCTTGCTTCTGAGGCCATTTCGCCGTTCAAAGTCCATCTTGCAGTAGCACATCTCATACCTTAACTCTGTGCTGTATGCAGAAGTCCCATCCTAATCAGCTTCCTGGAATGACTCCAGCGGGAGCTTTCCTGCTCGTTCTGCAAGGTGCGTGTCTGCCACAAAATCCTACGGTCATGGCACCAGTGCCATTTGCAAGTGTTTAAGCCCGATAACAATGCTCCTTAGGTGACGTGCCATTGCCACAAATATACCCACCCTTGCAGTTGCATGGATGCCCCCCCTCCCCCGTGCAAGGAATGCGGGCAACAAATCACATTGCTTTCCTGGATCATCTGTGCTTGCTTTACAATATCTTGTGAGGTAATTATCTTGTCCAGAGAACTGCTGCGCTCTGGCTTCTTCTATTTACTGCCTGTTTGCAAACATTCTGGCTTGGTGGAGAGGGAAAATGCAGGAATAAGGAGAGGGAACTTAGCAGAGGAAATAAGCAAGAAGGCTGTTGTTTTGGAGATGTGGTTGATCAGAGCTGCTGGTGGGTTACACTAGACAGGTAGATGCCAGTAAACTTGTGGATCCCCCACATTTGTGGATTTATTGTTGCTGGATTTGGAATGGGCCTCGCAGACCTATTTAGGGTAAATAAATAAATAAAATAAACTTAGCTTTTCCTTCTCTTTAAATACTCCTATATACACGCCCCAACATGTTGATTTTATGCAGGAGTTACTTTTGTTTGTCTTTCACCTATAAATATTCAATGCTGGCCATTTATCTTCATGTATGGCGTTATTCCAAAACCCGGGGTGGGTTTTGTGGCAGAAACTGGATGTGAAGTGGAGAGCACATCATCTTTGCAGGCTGGTTTGGGATTCGCAGTGCACTTCAAAATGTTTTAAAATTTTAGATAGCAATGTTAACAAAAGAGGTAGAGTTCAGTGAGACAAAGTTAGCTCGTTTATTTATTTATATATTTAATTTATATGCCACCTAAAGGAAGTAACTCAGTGATTGAGAAACAGAGAGGCAAACGACCGACCCATGAAGCAGAGGAATGTGGGAGAAAAGATAATGATGACTTGAAAGATCATTTGCGACTCCCTATCTCATCCTCCCAGTAGTTTTATGAGATGGGGTTCATAGTGCAAGGTGAAGTGAGAGAGGAGTCAACTATTTAACCTGTAGTTATAAGCACGCAGGTATAATAGGTTGATGAATATTAACTCACACACCTTGAATAGACAGTGGACTAATTATAATGCACATGCAATGTATGCAGGTGTATGTAATGGGATGAGATGGGAAATATGCTGTAGGTGGATGAAAAGATTGTGACGTCCTAGTACCTCACCCAATAAGGGAAAAGGGGAAGGCTGTGGTGGACAGATTGAGGAGTCGAAGGAGCTGCGTTGTGTGTTCGTACTTTGGAGAGATTCTGATAGAGCAGGCTCTCCCCGTCTATAGCACCACCCAATAGCCAAGGTGCTCGCTCTCTCTCATTCTTTCTTCTTTTTAGAAAAGGCAGGTAAGAGGGGATGGGAGGAGGCTGATGAGGCTTCAGGGATACCTCATATCCTGGACTCTGCAGTCTCCCCACTTCCTCCAAAATGACCCCATTAACTCCTCCCCATGGCTGCTTTCCTGAGCAGGCAGTGTGGGTCCTTCTGCACCAGCTTAGATGAGTGGAGCTCTGATTCCCTGTTCCAAGATCAGAGCACAGTCTCCAGCCTTGGAGCTGGGAAACTGAAACATCCCATGGCTCCTCACATGCTCTCTAGGGGCCTTAGGAACACTCCCTAAGTCTCCCATCAAGAGATGGTTCCCATGAAATGTTAAATCCCTTGTCAAAAGAAGCACAGGAAGGGGCTGGGAGACTACATGCTTTACATGAAGAAGTCCCAGGCAGGGCTAGAAGAACTCTCTGAAATTTTGGAGAGCTGCTGCAAATGAAAAGCTGCAATACCAGGACAAGGCCTAGCAGTGGTCTGAGGCAGCTTTCTGTATTCTTGTGTCTAATGAAAGGATCTCAGACAAACTCCACAGATGGAACCTCAGTTGAGATGATGGTCTCAGTTTCACAGCAACATCGGGCCTGATTCAAATACAGGAGTACCAGAAGGAAATGAAACCAGGCTTTTTCCACCCTCAAAAGCCTTCCAAAACAAAAAAAGATGTATACAGTGCCACAAGACCAGATGGGCAGGTGTGTTATTGCACAGGGGGGGACAGACAGACTTCCCACTGAAGGAGGTTTCGGTGCTTGGTTAACGGGTAGATTCAAACGAAAAAAACAGAAGGGACAACAGGACTGTGTAAGGGAGATGCAAGCCGACCACCCAGAGAAACAAGGAAGCAGTTTTAAGGGAGTATCTCTAACAACATCAAGGCCAACAATGAAGAAATCTTTACATATATCAAAAGAAGGAATGCAGCTAAAGAAGCTGTTGAGCCACTGGATGATAATGGAATTAAAGGAGCATTAAGGGGGAGATGGAGAGATTGCAGAGAAGCTGAATTAATTCTTTTTATCAGTCTTCACTGCAGATGGTGTAGAGCAGATACTTGTCTCTGAGTTTATATAGTCTAGAAGGAAGTGTGAGGAACTGAGGCAGATAGTAGTGACAAAAAGGAAATTCTCAACCTTATCCACAAACTGAAAGTCAGCAAATGTCCCAGTCCAGATAGTATCCATCCAAGAGTCTAAAAGAGCTAAAACATGCAATTGCTAACTTCCTTACCAAAATATTTAATATGTCCCTAAAAACAGTCCTTGTACCAGAGGATTGGAGAATAGCTAAAGTAACAATTTTTTAAAAGGATCCTGGTGGGATCTAGGAAATCTCCAGACTAGTTAGCTGAACATCTGTTTCAGTAAACTGCTTGAAAGCATAATTAAAAATAGCATTAGTAAGCACATAGAGGGGCAAGCCCTGATAAGAAGTCAGCATGGCTTCCTCAAGGGGAAGTCTTGATTTGGGCCTACTGGACGTTTTTGAGACTCTCAATAAGCATGTAGACAGGGGCAATCCAGTAGACATTGTGCTTGGACTTCCAAAAGGCTTTTGACAAAGTCCCTCACCCAAGGCTCCTTATGCAACTAAGCAGTCATGGAATAAAAGGGACTTTTCAAGCCCAGAGAATTTTAGAAGTGGTTTGGGATTTGGTGGATGGGCTATTAAGAAACTGTCTGGAACAAAATCTCTATGCGTAAGAAACACAATTTATTAAAAAAACAACAAGAAAGCTACTGTCCTTTATTCCCCACCATAGAGATGTATCCTGGTTATTTCTACAGATCTTGTGAATGGCTTGTTGATCACATGGCTGCATTCATAATGAATCCCAGTAACTCAGTATTAAGACATGCTTATTATGTGAGGACAATACACAGTGGCAACACCCGCACTTTCAATTAAACATGAAAAAATCATTGAATAAATCATAAATTAGCAATAAGTCAGAAGCATAGAACAGCAATAGCAAAATTGTTTGCTAAGGGTATGAGCAACAGATTGACTGAGCTGTCCAGCATGGCCAAAGGCCATGAATTATGGGAGTTGTAGTTCAAAACATCTGGAGAACACCAGGTTTCCACTTCCGGCTTCATACAATGCCTGAGTGAGACAGCCATTATTCTACTGCATACAGCAGCATAGATCTACATTTGAAGAGCCAGTATTTAGTAGCTACACTGAATGAGTATATATTACATTACACCATGACCCATGAAAATATTTACTAGCATTTGCTGGCAAGAGCCTGGGACTGCAGCTTTCTTCAAGGATTACATCAGTTCTTTAATCTTCTCTTCCAGTTTTTTTGCATTAGCACCAGTTATTTCAAAAATCTGGGACCAAACAAAAGAAAATACAAATAATAGAAGAGATGAGAATTTCAGGGATGCTTCACTTCCACACAAACCTGCCCATGTGTTACTAAAATCTATCAAGCAAGTCCTTCTGAGATTAGGCGGTTGGTGACTAAGGAATGGGCTTCTTTGGCCGAGGAACTCCTAGCCAAGGAATCCCTTCCATAGAGAAGCTCATTTAGCATGAACTCTGATGTTTCAGTGCCACTCAAACCTTTCTAGGTTTCAGGATCTTAAGGGCTGCTTCCAGATAGATGGTTCCTGGCATTAATACATCATTCCTCTTCCAGTGTAAGTTCCGATTGAATTATCTGAGTGTCATTGATCTTCTCCTACCAATAGGGTATTAATTCTACTGCCATACAGTTTTGATTGATTGATTGTGTACTAGCCCATTGGGTTATTAAAATTGTGTTAGGCTAAACAGCAATGCTAAAAGTGTGAGATAGAAATACATGGAGAAGATAAAATTGAGGGGAGAACGGTTGATATTTTTCTCAATAAATCTACAGTTGGCTTAGATTTCTGCAGTTGAAGGATGAATATATATGCATATATGTTCACCCTTCACCTTGTCATCTCCTCAACCATCATCAGAAACCTGTGCTGGGGATTGTGGTTATGGTGGTCAAAGAAGTAAGAAAAGAGGTCAGAAAAAGGATGATCAGAAAAAATAACAAAATAGAAAAGTGGTTTGCATAACATGTACAGTGCTGATTAATATGTATAGAGGTACATTTAGAAATAATGACTATTCCTTCAATAAAAACACAGTGCAGGTAGTGGGGAAAACCATGACCAGGTGTACTGTATACCTGCTCATTCTGCTGTGCGGGTATACAGCTGTGGATGGGCAAGTTGGAGTCCCTGCTCTGCTTTGATGATGATTCTTTGATGATCTATAAATCACACTTGGACTGGAAAATGAGGGATGAGTGAGAAATGTGCTGGGTTCTCATTTTGACGGAATGTTCACTTCCCAGTTCTGTACCAAGTGCAATTATACAGAGATATGTATAGGTTTCAGAATGTTTGATGCAGTTCATAATTTTAAAAATGGACATAGAAGTAAAAAAGGATAAAGTGCATACTAAGATGTGCATATAAGAGGAAAGGGAGAACCACAATGCATTAGGGGAAATCACTTGGGCGGGTCTATAGGAAGGGAAGACCTGCTTACAAACATGCCTATATTTAGAAACGTTTCAAAATGTTCCAAAAATTACCTACGTTGGAAGAACACAGGCATGTGCACAAAGACAATTACACATTTTTGTGCTGACTATTTAGGCAAAACAACAACAATAATAATTACAAACTGATGCAGAAGCAGAAGGGAACAAACCTAGTGTTAAAAAAATAAAATGCTGAGCAGAATTGGACTCTACAGTGTCACCCATCCTTAGAACAGAGGGCGCCTCCAAATGGAAGCTTGCCCTCTGTAAAGTAGAACAGATGACATCCCTACTTGTTGCTCTTCATTTCAAGCAGAATTGGACTGGACAACGAATGGGTAAAAATATCGCTGGGTTCACATTTTGATGCAAACACACTAAATTTATACTGCATTATGCAAGAGCTGGTATAGCACAGAGGCCAGGAGACTGAACAATGAATTAAGTTTAAATGTGGTTTTGCCATGAAACTTGTTCAAATCTTGCTTCTGTCCTGAATTCACAGGACAATCCTATACTGGTCTATCTAGTCACAAGTCCTACTGAGTTCAGTGAGACTTCCTTCTAGGTAAGTGTGTATAAGTTTGCAGCCTAAGTCAAGCCATTGTCTCTTAGCTGTCCAAAAAAGGAGTACTGATCCTAACTCACAGGATTTTGTTTGCAAGGCATTCGTGTATTTTAAGTGCTTTGATCACTCTAAACTGTTCCAGGAATGCTCAGGATGAAGTGTAACAAAGCCAAACAGATCAAACTGAGATCATAATCCTTTGGACTCTGTTCCCATATCGGAGGCTTCCTCATAAGCAGTGCTCTGCTGGGGTTTTCCCAACTGGGCAGAAGCAGGCGAGGTTATTTTCAACTCTCCTTCCTCCTTTAAAAGGTTTCTCTGTAAATGATAGAGTCGGGTTACAGGAAATCAGATTCTGCCTGCACATTCGGGAAGAAGAGCAACATGAGAATGGAATGGATTACCCAGGGAGTTGCCAAGGTCTCCCACGCTGGAGGCATTCCAGATGCAGCTGGGCAGCCATCTGAGAGGGATGCTTTAACCGGGAGCCCTGCACTGGGCAGGGGTTGGATCTGATGGCCCTCTGGCCCCTTCCATCTCTATTCTGTGATTCTATGAGATGGGCCTTTGAGCACATCTGCAGAGGTGGCTGGGGCAAGGTAGGCTGGGGCTGAAGGAGCTGTGGGATCCCTCAGATCTTGGCCTTTCCTCTTGCCTCCCTTTTCTGCCAAGCCACATTTACAACCTTGGGTAGCAGATGTTTGTTGTTGTTGTTGTTTTGTTTTTTGTTTTTTTTTTTAGGATGTTGCCAGGGTTTGTTCAGAAGTCAGACTCCCCTCCTGAGGGATTCCAAACAATCCTGTGGTCCCGGGGATGCTCTGCTGGGGGATGGAAGGATACTCTCTCACAAAAGTGAAATTTACCTGAGGAGTGCATTGAATTCCTCCCTTGCAACCCAAAGCGTGTTAATGCATTATCTGCTAGGGACTCGCTTGCTCAAAAATGAGCTCTATTTATATGTCATCGTGCCATGTTCTCTTTACATCATGCCAAGGTTATTAAATTGAACAATGCAGATCGCTAGACCACTTTGAGGGAAAAGGTTATGATCAAAGCAGGACTCAAATTATGGGGTGGGGGAAAATAATGAACTCCACGAGCTCTGCCTTCTGATTTCCATACAATTGTAGCCAAAAAAGGCCTCCCTTTAGCCTTCTAAAACAAGAGCTGGGGAAGAGGATGCTTCAGAAGACATAAGGCTGAGTCCCCTCTGGCCATAGCATTGCTATTAATTGCTGGGGCTAGCAAGGTATACACATTAGGATTGCTAACTTTCAATTAAACTGCCCTTGTAAGTGGAGCCAAGTGGCACAGCTAGAACAAAACCTTGCAAGGCAAAACCTGGAAGGATGGGTCAGATCCAGACAGAGACTAGAGCAGAACTAAGCTATATTTCTTGGCCACAGATACCTTTTCTCCTCTCATGAAGAACTGGAATGTTGGCATGGAGACAATATGGCAAAGGTCAGCCACATCCTGAAGAAGAGAAATCAAACCAGAGCCCATCAAGTCAAGGAACTCATTAAAATATGCTCAAAGCCAATTTCCAGTAAACATCTAAAATATGAAAGAGAACAAAAATAAGGCATTTTGCACCATATCTATTAAGGATGCATCAGATAGTCTCTTTTTTGCCATCGGTTGGAAGTATCACATTTGAGACAAATAGGAAGAATAAAACAAAACTCATCTTGCTAAAGATCTGCATTGCTTTGAAACTTCTTGGTATCAGATCTGTAGTCCTGGCTTCTACTGTTTCCAGAACTATTTTCCTTTTTCCCCCCTTTTCTTTTCATGATCATTTATTACAACCATAACTGTTATATACTCATCTAGAGCACCACTGAAGGCCTAAAACTCCACAGAAAAGATGAGTTGTTTGGGATGCACTGTACGCACAGGGCCAGAACAGACATTGCCTTAAATATGTCTAGCAGCTATCTTTTCTGGTCCTTTTCAGCCTAAAACAGAGATAGGGTCCATGAATGGGGGATTGGGGGTGGTAGTTAAGATCTGGATCAGGTCCCCTACTTCTTCTCCAGAATAAAAATGAAAATAAGACAGAGTTATTAGACACACATTTAAAGTAGTGTCTGGGTTTTCCCTACAGGAAAACCCATTGTAGATGAAAAGCCATGGTTAGTTTTCCAGTCATGCAAACCTGGGCCACTTCCCAGGGCAACAAGCCACCCTGACAACTCATGACTGTAGTTGGACTCAGATTGGACAGGTTGTTGGACTCGCAAGGTGTCATGACGCCCAAACCTGGGCAACCAACTCCGTTGCCAGTGCAGGAAAGTGGCTAATGAGCCACTAGGCAAGAGCTTTTCCAGGCCATAGCCAGTGCCAGTCGCCCTGCTGGCACCTAAACGGCACAGCAGAGTATCCATCATTGGCGGGATGCATTCTGCCTTGATTGCAACCCCTTTTTTGTTCTTCGCAGCTTTTTTTCTCCTATTCCACCACTTCTTCTTCCTGGAAATCAGCTTTCATGATCTCCAAGTTGACAGCCATGGATTGCTCCTTCAAAGCCTGGCCTTAAAGGGAAACCTGAGCTCTGAACTGTCATGCCTCTATGCAACCCCAGAAGAGGTAGCTCACATTTTAAAAAATGCAGGCACCAAGAGTTGCAGGAAAAGGTGCAGGGCCCAGAGAAGAAGCAAATCCTATTCAAACAAACAAACAGGCACACAAGCACACTATCATGCCACAAAGGGCATGATTCACTGGCAACATCCTTAAAATATCATTTAAAGCTTTGCTTTCCCTTGACAGCTCACATTTGGCAGCTATCAGGAGAAAGCAAAGTAAAAAACAAGCCTCTTTGCAGCCTCTTTGAGTCAATGTCCAGGAAGCAGATGCCTGCCCCAGACCTAGTACAGGCAAAGCTGCCCATTGCAGAGTTTGTACTTGTACCTTTGCAAGTCCAGCTACGAATACACGTACACATGCATGCACAAAAATATTTGTCCACCTTTGGGGAATCAAAAAAGTGGCAAACTAGGGACAGTCTGTCACCAGGGTACTTTGAAGGGGCGGTCACTGGCTCTAAACTCAAAGATCATAAAAAGCACTTTCTGGAAAAAATGGGGAATGAGGGGAAGGCTACAAAAATGGGCTTGTATTTATGATGGGAGAGGAGACAAGGCAACTTTAGCTGCCAAGTCCTCTGGGGTACCAGCTGCAAGACCAAGGGGGGCAACCCATGGAAAAACTGATAGTAGCTTATTCATAGAGCGGGTTGTCATGATGTCCAAACCCACCCAGTGTCTATGACTTCCTCTGTGGATCAGAGCTTGCTGATGTGATGAAACATCCATCCGTCCATCTTAACCTTGATGACACTAGCAGGGGCCCGCAAACAAGAACATAAAAGAAGATCTGAAAAGCACTGGCCATGAGGAAACAGAATGGAACATTACTAAGAGGGTAGAAATTAGTTGTTTTATGCCTTGAGCTGTTGGTTAGGATCAAAATCTACCTTTAAGCACCAGGCATGTTGTGGGATCTTTATGAACTCATTGATTAGAATTCCTAGACTGTTTTGCTGAACTGACTGTATTGATTTCCTGACATCACTGCTTTGTTTGGATGTCCCCAGTGTTGCAGAGTAGCATAAGGAATAGCTTCGTTACAAGAAGTGTAAAAGGGCAAGCAAGTAAAGGGACACTGTAGGTGAGAACTCTCTAAAATAATGGGCTCTAGTTAAGTTGACTGACTGAAGGCAAGGCAATATTTTAGGCCTTAAAGAAGGGCTTGTTTTGTTTTAACATAAACACAATAATACATGAAACAATGGTATTTAACCCGCTTTTACACGGATACATGCCGCTATTAAATTAACAGTTTAATCACTGAGTGTTTTACTTGTCAGTGTGGCAAACCTATCTGCATTCCAATTAATGCTTAAGAGTTAAGCAATGCATGATTTTGTCTCGGCAAAAAAGGGACTTCTTCAAATAACTAAAAGTTATTAACTTATGGAGTCTAGAAGTTGCCTGTAATGTGGTTTTGAGTATTACAAATAGTCAGCGATAACATATCTGTCAACTGGTATTAATCGTAGTAACTGAATGATAATCCCATTTTCAGAAGTAGTAAGTCTCTGATGCCAGGGACAAATAAGGAGACTTGACCAGACTTTCTTTGTGAGCTCTTGGAGGAGGTTTCCCCAACCTCCCCCCAGATCTTTTGGCCTACAACTTCCATCATCTCTAACCATCACCATGATGGATCTAAATGATGAAAGCTAAAGGCCAAAATATTTGGAAGGATCCAGGTGGAGGAAGGTTGTTGCAGCAGGGTCTAGATAGCTGTGTTTGGAAACAGAATGGACTAGATGGACCATGGTTGTGATCCAGAAAGGCCATTCTTATGATGGAAATTCTGGCAGAAACACTTGAAATAGCCTGATATTAGTAGCTTACCCCTGCCAAGTCCACATCAACGTTGCAGAACAGCACATTTTCATACCGAACAGCCAACCCCTTCAGGATAGAATTGAACATGGCGATTCATTGATATGATATGGTCTCATTCACTATCAGCCACAAATGTCCTTCAGCATGATGGATAATCACACATCCATTTCTTCCCTCCACCCCCTTTTATTTGTTGTATAAAGTAAGGTACCACCAATATTATGGGAGAGAAACTGAAGAGTAAAAAAATAATTCCAGTAAATGATATGCACTGCTCCTTCCCCTCTGCCTTGGATGAGCGTGCGTTCAGGATTCTGCCCCAAGGCCTGTCAACTTCACAAGAGTCCTGCTCCGGGCGGAGAGGAAATTGCTAGAATTGGTTTACTGCCATGGATCAACAAACTGTGGGGTTCTTTGGACTTTCTTTGGGGACATGGCTGTGGGGACTATCTTGATGAGTTCCTGCACAGCAGAATTGCACTGTGGGTCTCAGGGACCCCTTTCTCTCTCTCCTCAGGGCCTCCTGCTGCTATACCCACTCATTGGTGCAATCCAGCAAATGTGTCCCGACTCCATCTAGTAGGAAATATGGAACACTCCTAGTATATGGACACTCTGATTTCAGCTGAATTGATCAGCAACCATGCATCTTACAAATACATCCTTGCAGACTGATTTCCCTGCCTCCTGGTATCCTTGTTTTTAGAACAGTAGCTTTCCAAATGCATCTCAGAGAACCCCGGCATTACTCAGACCCTTGTCAGGAGACCTTAATGGGAAGATCAGTAATAGCAGGCAAGATGCCCAAAAGACTCTTAATATTTCCTGTGGAGCACAGGCTCATTCATTGTTAAAAGTGGTTTCCTGGATGAAATCCAGCAAACACTAGTCATGAAGTTCTTTGGAAATTGATGCAGCATTCAAACAAATATAGCTAGCATTTGGGATGTGTCTCTTTCATGTGACTAGTTGTGAGCCCCAAGAAACTGAACTAACACCTCAGACACCAGCATGCTCCCCAAACCCTCAGCAATGCACAAGGGCTCGGTGGTAAATACAATGCCTTGCAGAAGTATTCCTTTTCTTATGACTCTTCCCCATTTGTTGTGTTACGATTTGGAACTGGAATGGATTTGAATTTACATTGTTACCATTTGAGGTACACAAGATAGACATTGCTCTGAAGGTGCAAAATGTCTTTACTGTGCCCCAAAAGTTAAATAAATAAAAACAAGCCCTGCATCTGCCACAAGATCCTTGTGCATTGCTGAGGATTCTGGGTAGTGTGCTAGCATACAAAGTGCTAGTCAGTTTCTTGGGCTTTACTGTGCGTAGAGGTTATTCAACAAACAATTTCCTCTCTCCCAAAATGCATTGCCAGCTATAATTTGATACCTGCAACATTTACCACCAACTAAGTCAGTTAATCATAGAATCATTCATAGGTTCCATAATCATAGGTACCATCCCCTGCTCAACATAGGTCTTGAGTCTCCCATCTAGATTCTAACCAGGACTGACCCTACTTAGCTTTCAAGATTAGACGAGATCAGGTTCTTCAGGCTATATGCAACCTGCAGGCCCCATTTTGGAACTTGGTCTATCTAAACCACAGGCCTCATTGCCATTATGTCCTGACTTTTCCATTTCTTTCCCCTCTATCACCTAGCCTAATGAAGTGTTCTAGAAACTCTAAAGCATGCGTATTTGGGAGAAATTTTGGTTAGCCTTATAAAGATATGCCCCAACTGTAGATTTTGAGTATTTTTCCTCATATAGAAGCATGGCTACCATTGCTTTTTAATGTGGAGAATTATGACTGTACATATACATATACATATATATATTAATTTGTTTTTATTTGTTTTTTTATAATCTTTCAACAAAATTAAATATCAGCAAAAAGCTGTTGAGAATACAAAACACAAGTAGAACCTCAAAGGCATATACTGAAAAAGGAGGGAAACAAACAAGAATACAACCACCATAGTGCCGAACTGTAATGATCAGAGAAACATTCTATGGGTCTCGAAGATATTACTAATAATCTATATGTATGCATAGATGCTCACACAAATGCACACAAAAAGGCCCATAATCCTCCATGTTTGGAGGGTTATGGATAGCCTTCTTGGAAGGTGCCCTTAACCAGCCAAAACAATTTCAATATAATTTTATTGAATAAAATTTTATTGAATAACCATTTTAATCAACCCATTAAACTAGAAGTATTGAACTAGAGATGATTAAATAGGTGACATGTCCCATTATGTGCATGAAATTCTCAGGCGCAGAGGACAATCCTAACCTGGCACCAAAAACATGACCATGTAGACAAAGAGTCATTATGTTGTTGGTGGAGCTTTTGTGGAATGAGTCATGCCGCTGTTGATATGTTAAGCAATCCAGAGTCTGAAGCCTTTGTCAATCCACTGCAGATCATCCAGAGATTGATCAATAGGCCCTGACTGACCTTTTCACCAGCCATTTTAGGCACTGCACAGGTCCCCTGATCCCCTTTGAATCTGCTAACTCCATATCATCTGCAGCAGCTTTCCCCATACTAATATTCATCAGATGTCTTGGACTGCAATTTCCATCCTTCCCAG